TTTCCCTCCTCACCATCATGTGCTACGACCGCTACGTTGCCATCTGCAAACCCCTGCACTACGGGACCCTCCTGGGCAGCAGAGCTTGTGCCCACATGGCAGCAGCTGCCTGGGCCACTGGCTTTCTCACTGCTCTGCTGCACACAGCCAATACATTTTCCCTGCCCCTGTGCCAGGGCAATGCCCTGGGCCAGTTCTTCTGTGAAATCCCACATGTCCTCAAGCTCTCCTGCTCACACTCAGGCTACCTCAGGGAAATTGGGCTCATTGTGGTTACTTGCTGTTTAGTGTTTGGTTGTTTCATTTTCATTGTTTTCTCCTATGTGCAGATCTTCAGGGCTGTGCTGAGGATCCCCTCTCAGCAGGGACGGCACAAAGCCTTTTCCACCTGCCTTCCTCACCTGGCCGTGGTCTCCCTGTTTGTCAGCACTGGCACATTTGCCTACCTGAAGCCCCCCTCCATCTCCTCCCCATCCCTGGATCTGGCCCTGTCAGTTCTGTATTCAGTGGTACCTCAAGTAGTGAACCCCTTCATCTACAGCCTCAGGAACCAGGAGCTCAAGGATGCCCTGAGAAAAATGATGACTGGATGCTTTTCAGGAGTAATAAAGTGCCAGTTTTCTGGTGTGTAGCATTCAGAATGGGACTCACTAATGGCCCAGCCTTCCTGCTCAGGTTTTTCTTGCAGGTCATCGGCTACTTCTTGCAATAATGTTCTCTGCAATTAAATTTTATTATGCATCTGCCTTCTAATTTAGTGTCTACACATTGAATTTGACCCAGAGATGTATAAATGATGAATTGTTCTCTCTAAGTATTTAAACAAAATAAAGGACCCTGCAGTGCCTTCTTTGTCCAAATCCTTCTTCTCAGATGTTCCTAAAGGACAGCACACTGCAGGACAGGGTGTATTTGCAAACGGGAAGGGGACAATAATCCCAGCCCAGCAGCACTGCCAGGGAGCAGCAGGGCTTGGTCTTTGCAGAGCTGCTCTCTTGCCACTCCCACACTGTCCTCCTGAGCCCCTTTCTCAGTGCGAGGCCTGAGTGCTCTCTGAGCACAGTCCTGGGGGGTGGAAGCCCTTGGAGCACAGGCAGGGACAGGCCCTGGGAACTTGTAACCACAAGTCCCAACACTACTTAAAATCGCTGCTCCTCTCACTGAGAGGAATCCACTGCTCTAATCCCAACCTCAACCGGACCTTGAAGGCAAAGCCCAAACCCAGAACTCCAAACTCTTATTTATACTCTAATGCCCACCCCATTCCCAAACCTGTATTACCAGTATGAAAAGCCAAGCTTTAATCCTGACCCAGCCCAAAAAGCTCTTCCCCTAATCAGGAACCAGACACTGCCAGCAGAACAACAAACCTCCCAAAGTTCTGCCTAATCCCCACCCTGAGCTCTAAACCCCAAGTCCTGACCATTCAGCACCCCCACAGCCCTTGGGAGCAGGGCAAGGACCTGGAGGGCCCAGAGCAGGCCCAGGGGGTTGGCAGAGGAATGGGAGGTGACCTGGATCTGCTCAGCTCTGCAGTGACCCCCAGGAGAAGGGCCTGGGCTCTGGCAGGGATGTCCTGTGGCACAGGGGCTCAGGATCCAAGGTCAGAAGGCCAAGTGCACATGGCAAGAGCCAGAGCTGGTGCAGAGACACCAGGGAGGGTCTAGAAATGCTGCTGGGAGGGGGTGGGAAAGCAGGAGGGGTGTGTGCAGCCTGCAAGGCCAGAGCAGCAGCAGGGCCAGGGCAGGACAGCCTGCAGGAGAGATGGCCAAGGGCTCTGGCAGGGCTGCAAGGCCCAAAGGCACCCAGGCCTTTGTCCCCTTGCCTCTGGCAGCTGCCTCTGCCACTCAGGCCACCACAAGCAACTTGCCTGGCAGGTTCTGCACTTGGTTTCTGCCTCGCCCCTCCCTCAGCAGCCTGGCAGGGGTTGCCCAGTTTTGGGCCTTTGTTGTTCCTCCCCCTCCCATCCCAGTGCCCCCAAACAGCCCTGAGCCAGCCGGGAGGGACAGGATCTGCTGGGCCAGGGCCTGGGGCTCAGCCCTTGGCCTTTGTGCTCCACAAAACCAAGGCAGGCTTTGCTCAGCATTGCAGGGGCCTGCCCAGAGCCTTTGTCTGCCTGCACTCCTGGCCTCCAAGGAGCTGCTCCAAGGAGTCCCTGGGGAGGCTTTGGCAGTGCCTGCCCTCAGTGGGGCCCAGCAATGCTTCAAGGCACTTGCAGTTTGGCTTCTGACTTCTTCAGCAGCTGCTTCAATCTTCTCTCAGTACCTCAGGATCATGGGCTGGGCTGCAAACACACCGTGGGGCTCATTAAAATGCAGAAATCCCTCAGGATCTCTTTGTCTTCCTTTAATTGTCTTCAAGGCAATTTCAAAACAAGTCTTCCAAGTTTGTACTTTTTTTGTTTTAATTTAAGGGTGGCTATTTTTTAGTTCAAAGAAGAGGTGATAGAGGTGTTCTCCAAGTGATCTTGATGCTGAGTGTCTCCTCAGGAGATCCACACTGACCCTGGATGATCAACCTTGCTCCTCACCCCCAACCTCACCAGTTCTGACATGGCCCATCTTGGACTGACAGCTGATGCAACTCCAAACACACTGTGGGACCCATTAAAACACCGAAAAACAAATTATTTTTCTTTCTTTAATTGTCTTCAAGACGTCAACAACAAATTAGAGTTGTTTTGTAGTTTAGCTAAGGAGGAAGATTTTAAAGTGGAAGTCACGAAAAATATATATTTTTGGATGAAAGAAAATGATTTACACAGAGCCTTGGGAATGCAAGAGGGTCAGGGCACAAAGGATTTGGATCCAAAGATAAGGGGCAAAAGAGATTAGTAGCACTTAATCATTGACCAGTTGAACAATTATCAACTGGTTCAATAGGATTTGCTACAATTTTAACAGTGACTGAATTACAGATTCACAATAACAACATTCATCATCATCATGTCTAGGCTTCGTGAACCACCACAGTCAATTCACACCCACGCCCAGGCAGAGATGTGTGGACACATCAAGAGCTGGGTGGGTAAAGGTCCCTCTCCCAAATTCTCCTGGTTGTCAGGGAAACACTCCCCCAAATCCCTTTGTGTTTCCCACCAGACAAGGGTCCCAGCTGGAGGAGTGTTTGTGGAGGGGGATCAGAATTGTCCTGGGCATCAGCGCCGCTCTTTGGAGTGTTGCAAACTGGAGGGTTCCCGAGCTGGGAGAGGCTGCCAGAGGTGTCCCACTGAGAGGGAGGGGCTGGGGAGCTGCCAGGGCCTCCCTCAGCCCCGCTGGGTGTGGGCTCCCAAGGGGACTGGCTTTGGTTATCTGCTGAATTGCCATCCTGGGGTCAGGAATGACTGGAGTTTCCAAACTATTTGGGAATTGTATCCAAACTGTTCCATTTGGGTTGTGATTCAGGCAGGGAATGTTCCAAGGCTTTCATGGGATGACTGATTATCCTGTGTTCCCCAACTGTTCCACTCCGGATTGTTCCCACCTGTATCATCCAGGAGCACCTGGTCCAGTCCAGGGACACTTCCCCACAGCCCTGGTCCAGTCCAGGGGCTCTTCATTGCTCAGCTGGTTTGGTCAAGGCTTGTCAGGAGCTCCTGAGATCATCGACCAGGCCTGAGGAGAATGGGGGGAGGATGCACCACCACAGAGGCTTCTAAGAAAGATGGGGACAAACTTTTTGTGAGGGCATCTCTGAGCACTCTCCAAGGTGTTTGCAGATGAAAACATTGTGCTCATAGTCTAAGACAGTCACAGGGCTACATTTTACCAAGGCCTGGAGTACCAGAACAAGGGGTAATGTCTTTAAACTGAAATAGAGGAGCTTTATATTGGATAAAATGAAGAAATATTTACCAGTGGTGCTGGCAAGAACTGAGGCAAAGAATTGGGATCCCTTATTCCTTGAGGCTTCCGTAGTGCAACAATGGCTCCTTGATTCCATGAGGTTGCAACTGTTTCCCAGTTGTTCTTTTGGCTCTGTAAGGCCCACGAAGTATCACAATGGCCATGATTCCATCATTTTTACCCAGGGTTCACAAATGGCCCACTGATTCCATCATTTTCCCCAGTGTCACAATGGACTCTTGATTCCATGAGATTCCACAATGTCCCATTGGTTCCTTTTGGTTCCAAAAGGTTCTGGGATGTCACACTGGCCCTTTGATTCCCTGATGTTCCACAAAGTCCTGGGGTCCTTTTGATTCCATGAGGTTCCGCAGTGTCCCATGTTCCCTTTGGTTCCAGGAGGCCCCAGTGTATTCCAATGGCCCCTGGATTCCAGGAGATTCCACAGTGTCCTGGGGTTCCCTTGTCTCCCTGACTTTTGGCAGTGTCCAGGGTCCCTTTGTTCCCAGGAGGTTCCTTTGTTTCCATCAGGCCCTGCCACGTCCCAGACTCCCTTTGGTTCCATGAGGTGCTGCAGGGTCACAATGTCCCCTTTATTCCATGAGGTTTCTCCATGTCCCAGGGTTCCTTTGGTTCCATGGGATTCCACAGGGCCAAAACTCCCTGGTTCTTATCCTTCCAACATTTGTGGGCCCATTCTATCCCTGCCTGGGATGGAGCCCCATTGTGTTTGTGCAGGAATGGATCCATGGCCATCCTGCCACTGCACCAATTGAATGCTGCACAAACGTCACTGCAGGCCCGACCCTGGATGCAGGAACAGTCTGGGAACTCCAGGCCTGCTGACATTCAGCAGAGCCAGTCGGGGTCCCAAAGAGCACAAGTGATTGCCTGTTGAAGGGATTGAAAACGTGCAAGTGCCAGCAAGAGGAGGCTGCTCTGTGCCCTTGGTGGCACAAACAGAGCAGGAAGCTGGCCCAGGACAGTTGTTCTCCCCCAGCCTCTCTCCCCAGCCATTGCCAGCACTGGCTGCTCAGCCCAGGCTTAGGGGTGAGTTTTGCTGGGCCCCCTCCATCCTCCTGCTGGGCTCAGGGCCTGTGCCAGGGCCATGGCCAGCCCTGCCCGGCCTCTCTGCTGGCCCAGAGCCCAGCAGAGCCTGGAGCAGGGCTGTCTGTGAGGCCCCACAGGGGACACGGCCTGTCCAGGAGCTTGGAGAGGGGCTGAACAGGAAGGCCTTGGGTGCCCAAGGCCAAGGACTGCCCTGGGCATCCCGTCAGAGGGGCCCTTCCCCACCCTGAGTGCTCCTGTGCTGGGCTGGGCCTGCCCAGGGGGCTGTGGGACCAGCTGGGAGGCAGCGGGGCACAAAGGGGCCACGGAGCCACTGCCAGGGGGGGACAGCAAGGCAGGGACAGACAAGGGATTGCTGGGCATGGCCTGGGCTGTGCAGGGGCACTGTGGGAAAGGCAAAGCTCCCCTGCAGTTGGGGCTGCAGGAAAAGTCCAGAGCCCAAAGAGCCTCAAGGGCTGTGTTGGACATTGATATAGGAGGCTAGGCCCCAAAGAGTTAACTAAGAGATTTGGGCCTGCAAACAAACTGATTTGGGCCTGCAAACAAGTTACCAATATCCAAAACGATCTGTACCTGTTCTGTTCTACTTACTGGACCAAAGCTTAAGAGAACAGTACAAGAACATGTAGTGGACTTAGAAGCAATAAATTAGAAGTATAACAGGATCAGGTAGACATTTGAATAGGAGAAATAGGCTTGGAGCCAGGGCCTTTTCCAAG